TATATAGTATATATATATAGTATANATATAATTTAATTAAGTAATAGATAGATAGATATAGTATATAGTATATAGTATATATATATATGTGTGTGTGTGTGTGTGTGTGTGTATATATATATATATATATACGTTCTAGAAAAGCACCCACCAGTTGACATACTACGTATACGCGTGAACTTACGCATTGATATTTCCGTTAAAATCAGTGCCCGTCTCTGCGCAATCAGCCTTCTTGAGGTCCAGAAGTTTGTCCATTTCCTGAGCGGCAAGCGGCGAAAGTTTCTGCTCTAGATCCGATAGGAAGTCGCTGACCGCCTTCTTGCTACCAGCCATTCGAATCTCCGTAATCAGATCTGCATGGGTCTCGTATCTGGATGTGGGTTACAAAAGCCAATAAGAACGCGTGTAGTACTGAAAATGTATGTCGAGCTAGACAATATCCTCTAATTTAGAAAACAGCCCAGCCCGTAAGGAACACCGATCCTAGGTTTCATGTTTCTCATTCTTGCTCTTGCCTTAAATTTGATAGTAATTTGCTGGTGTCCATACAATGACCAGATTCCAACGATTGTGATATAGGCATTGCCGCCTAAAAGAAGTGGTACTACAAAGTACGTCTACAAATCTCAACAAGACAGACCACTTCACATACCCCAAAATACCCGCCAATTTGTGCCTCAGAGCTATTAATTCTTCCAGGATAGCAGTGTTTGCTTCTAAGCACCTCGAGTTGAAAGCTATGTTCATTTTCTTGCGTGTCTCAGATACACAGCATTTCTTCATGACATTGAAGACGTGAGGGTACGATAGCGTAAGGAAATATTTGTCATCGGAATCTTCTACCTTGTCGAGAGATTCGATGAAGTCTGATGGTAAACCCTTGAGATCGGCTGAAGTAAACTCCAGCTTTGCCTTGACATCATTCAGGTTCTGTTTAAAAAGTAACCGTGTGAGTATAGTGCATATTATAAAATCTTACCGACAGTGGAAACAGTACAAACTATCTCGGATTTACCATCATGTGGGCCGTGAGGTCTTTAATCGTACCATTGTTATTGCACATGCATCGCTCAAAAGTCCTACTGCAATGACAAGCGAATATTTAAGTAGGAACAGTCGGCATAGCTGATTGCACAGGGCAATATTCACTACGATTGATACCTTCGAGAAATCGATGCCGAGCTCCGACATCTTTGTCTTGATTTCCGTGATCGTCTCGCGCGTATCGGCATCGAGATGCAGACCATTACGTCGATACGATCGCAACAAACGCTCCAGATAGCGCTTACCCTCGGCGGATAACTTTTCCACCTCTGCCTCCTTTTGGCTGAGTATGAGCAGCAAAAATACATAAGAAATAAGAAATAGACAACTGGCGAAACACATCAATGCCAGTGCGATCTCAAAGTAAAAACATCATATGTACATCAGTACATCATGTACTCCCATAAAAACATAACCTGCGTATTGGCCCGACAGAAAAACAAAACGGCGACGCGTAAGACACCGACTCACCTGAACGTGTTCACTCGTTCGTATACATCTACACGCATACTACACTCCACCGTGTACGCAGAGATGAGCTTGTCGCAAGCGCAACTTGTTTCCCTCACCGTTTCATCCGCAGAGACGTACTGTGGGAAGTCAACTAGGGTTCCAATCGTGGCAAAGATGCTGTCATCGTCAGCTAACGCTTTGATGACGGTGTCGCAAGTTAGTTGCTCTGTAAAAAAAGAATCGAGATATTTTGCTTATAAGTTCTCGCAACTGTCAGCAGATACGTGCTCATTCCTAATCCATAACTGAATCCTCTTTGGAAACATCCCGAAATACTGAGAAACATCTCAATTTCAAATCAATTGAGAAACCAATAGATTGTAGAAATACCCTCTGTAACATAAGAACTCCTGCTTCATCAGGCTTTTGTCGATATAAATTAGATCTGGACCTAAAATTATAGATTGAGAGCGTTGATAGGCATCACGCTAAAAAAAACGCTATAAAGTATATAAATATATATATATATATATATATATATATATATATATATATATATATATATATATATATATATATATATATATATATATATATATATATATATATATATATGTGTGTGTGTGTAGAG